TGGGCTATAAATACGGGTTGGTATGAGATTAAATTCATCATAAAGACCTTCGGGCTTAATGGAATCTAATCTCGTGACCAACCCGTATTTATAGCCCGATAGATGTTTAAAAATGATACCTTATTTCTTAAATGTCCTGTTATGGACCCTGATCCCTGCACCTCTGATGTTTTAGATGTCTGTCTTTTCTCTGATCCTAGTTTGCTTTATTGAAGTTATGTGCTTGAAAACTGTTTGTAATATACCATATTTCATTCTTATATTATCAGTTCTTTTGGCCCTAGAACATAGTAAATTTTCAATAAATATAATTTTGAAGTATTTTGACTGCATCTATTACCATAATTATCTATACATCAAGGAAAAACTTTTTCTTTTTTTTCCTTACATTTTTACCATCATTAGAATAAAAAAGCCAATATCAACAAAACTAAAAAAACGTTTGTAAGTAATTTTTTTATTCATTATTTTTCAAAAGTGTACAAAGCAAACTTTAAATATATTTCGTTCCTTGTCTCCATATTTTTCGTGTTTTATTTTTATACTACATCACATGAAATCACAAAAATATAGATGGTTTTTTTTTATTTCAAAACAGGACACGAGCTGTGTTATCGTTAGCGTTTAGGTTTCACGGAAAATATTTTTATATTGACTCATTACTGAGTTTCAGAAATTGTGAGATTTTCAACATCAGATAACTCCTTTTTATCTTCTTTACTGGACGGGTCAGCAACCAAATCCAGGTAAGAGTGATCATTATAGTTATACTCATTAGCAGGGTTTACATGCATTGCATTCAAATATGATCCGTCAGTATTGATGGGTTTTATGTAGGATTCTCTGCTATTGATTTCGGAAAGGCAACAAGGAACACTACACTCTTGTTTTGATTCAGGTAAATATTCATAGCCTTCGTCATGCTCTTCTATTGTGTACAAAATGGAAAAAAGGCAAATATCAAAACGTGAACGGTTGAAACACATTTGCTTCTAATTTCAATTCCTGGTCGTCGAAAAACGATTATCCATCATTTAAATACAATACAACCAAAAAGAGTGTAACGACTTCAAACAACAATTATCAGAATGACAATTGTATTTATATATTAAATGCAATAATTTATTTGGAGGTTTCAAGCTGAATTTATTTTGGTGAATTGTTAAAATTTTTAGAACCACCCCATGGCTGATTGATTACATGTAATAGAAGGTGTAATGTCACATGGTCAGCACAACGAGTCATTCAGTTGTATTGCGATAACCCGCATGCTAACATGAGGCACGTCTATTTTGTTTTAATGTGTCATGTTAAATTATATATTTGATTAGTTCTGACTCAATTTGTTTTACTGTTTTTATGTATTTTGTTTTGACTACTATCCTTTTGCTAACATCTTTCTCTGAGGTTATGTTGTCTTTTTGATGTACCATCTTTTTGCCAATCTTTCCCTTATGATGATTGCCTATTTTATTTTGATGTGCTATCCTTTTGCTGACTTTTTCCTATGATGGTTATTTTGTTCTGATGTGCCTTCATTTTGCTAATTTATTCGTTTGATGTTTTAATTGTCTTGTTTTACAGATACTTTTATATAGTCATTTTTGGAGGATGGGAGATTATCATGTTTTACGTAACTGATAAACAAAGCTTGTTAATCTGATCCCTTTCTTGTTTGTTTAATTGTTCACATTTTAACCGTCATTTTGATAAATAACATTATTCATTTTTATTTTTTATTTGACTTGTACAAAATTAGCAAAAACAAGCTGTGGTGAGCTTGTCTATAAGCATTAGAATACATAAACATATTTATGACGTATATAATACCACCAGAATTGATTGTTTCTGTTTCATTCATGAGTGTTCGTTTAAAAGAAATAAACAACTTATTCAGTGAACATGGCCTTATGCATAGCAATTACTCTACAGACCTAATCCATGATGTACGCTGTACACAGGGCTATTGCTATTTAAAATGCCACCTTCACGGAATAGAGGGTGTTTATTACTCATATTTGCATTACCGGTATGTGAAATTGTCAAGAATATGAGAGGAAGTCCTGGCTCACATAAGGGTACAAATTCTTGTCTCCAGTAAAGAAAAAGAATCACAATAAAATGAGTAGACCTGATTAAAGACCTTTTTCTCAATAATTTACAAGTAATACATATAGTATTTGCTACTCAGGCATAGTTATCTAGATATACCTGTGTCGTCTTCAAATTCTTGTATTTTTTTTTATGCACTTGTGACCTCCTCAAAATTCTCCAAGAAAAATTAACAATTTAACAGTATGATGGCAAAATATAATACATGTACATGTACTTTTATATTGAGTTTAACGTAAGAGTTTCTTTATTTTGTTTTTAAAGTTTTTAAAATACATTTTCAGAGTTGAAATTATTTTGAAAATAGATAAACTATTACAGACATTTCAGTTCCTTTAAAGGTTGATCACCATAGCCTGAAGAGTTGTTGTTCTTTGCCAAGATATTTGTACATATGAACAGAAAATTGAAAAATATATAGCATTTTTTTCTAAAAAAAATTGTAAAATGTTTTATCATACAGTTTAATGCATTGACCAAAACTTGTAATGTGTAAATTATAAATTTCAATCAATTTGGTTTTTTTTTTTCCAGAAGAATATTAAAAGAAGATTTATTCCTTTCGTACAAACTTTGATATATACTCTTCTGAACACCTTAAATTAGTAGAGTAGCTTGTACTTTATGGGTTTGAGAAAGAAAATGCACTCATAGCTGAACAAGTGCAGGTTCAAAGTAGGAGAAAATGCTATAAAATATGAATTTTTATGTTGATGGCTAGAAAACAATACTATAAAAATCGACCTGTAATGCCTAGGTCCCATTTACTTCGATGGCCGGGCTATCAAATATTTTTTTTTGCATCGTCCTCTGAAAAACATGATTCGATTAGGCCCACAGTAGTATAGGGGGACGTGAAGCAGTCACATTAAGCCGGTCAACAGTTGCCCGTTCAAAGTTGGATAAGCTGCAGTTTGATTTTCTCTGTCGTCAATTAATTACGAAAACCTAATGTCGACCGATTTAAAGAACTTTCTGCCGATTGCCGGACAATGATCGAAGGTTGGTTGACAGACTATTTAATTAATGACCGCTTCAATTGAAGGAATCGCTCACCTTCGCAGAAAAAAATATAACATTGTCCGACAGACAAAAAATTTGTCGGCTGACAAAAAAGAGCTCAAATCGGACAAGACAACCGATAAAAAGCTGACTGTTGTTCGAAAAATCCTTTTTTCTGCCTGAAATATGAACTACTACTGCTAAAACATATTCAAGACTAGTAAGGAATACATGTACCATAGAAAGGAACTGTTACTCTACAAACATGTTAAAAAGCATAAATAATTCTTATTTTAAATTGTCCAGATTTCTGTAGCAACTTTCTGATTTCCATTTAATGTCATGTTCATGAGATTTTAAAATTTGAAAGTAATAAACAACAATTTTTTGTTTGATCAATATAGTCTATGTTAGAAATTTCTTTATTCAGTATTGAACTTTTTAAAAATCTATTGAGATATTCTTAATAACTGAACAATACTGAGTCATATCTTTGCAGATTTATTCAAATGACTTGTAAAACTGACAAAAAATTTTACGAAGAGGATTTTTTTGGATGAAAAGTTGTTTCATACCAATTGTTATACTCTGTTTACGGAATCTTCCATCTTCAAAGGGCTCACGGTGGATGTGACACGTCAACAGCTGAGGATGCTTACTCCTCCTAGGCACGTTATCTTATCTCTAGAATTTCGTTTTATGCCCTCTTCGCAGATTTATATTTCTTAAGGATTTTTGAGAACGATCATGTTCTTATCTTCACTTTTTACTTCTCTATACTATTTTAATATATCATTGCAAAACTTCAAATATTTTATATCTATTGGAAAATAAGTGTATTTATATTTCTTTTTTTATCAGCTGTTTTTTTTTATTGTTTTCTTGCGGAAAACCTGCTTACAAAAGAAATTGTCTGCGAACTTTTGTAACCGTTGTAAACATTGTTTAGCTATTTAAACTTAATATAATATCTATTATCTATATATGTTTATTTGAATGTATCTTAAGGTCAATAAAATTTGTGTTCAATGTGTAAAATGAGTGCAATGCTTGTCAAACTTTAAGCTGGCTGAACAAGACACTATTCATTCCAGGTAACCCTAACAAAAAAACTATAGTTTACTATAGTTAACTATAGTTATAGCTTTGACACTATGAAAACATTGGTTCACTATAGTGATCACTTTGACACTTTGAAAAACTTTTTATCGAAAACTTTGACACATTGAAAAACTTTGGCGAAAACTTTGACACATTGAAAAAAATTATCGAAAACTTTGACTCCTTGATTTACCATAGTTTACTATAGTAAATTATGGTTAAATATAGTTAACTATAGTTTTTTTACGGGAGTTTCAGTTTTTCCGTTGAACTTTATAAAAAAAGAATATAGAAACAGCTAGGCAACATATTGTTACACAGATTTACAAATTGTAGTTTTAATATAGAACAGTTGTGTAACACCTGGTGTTAAAAAGTTAAATAGAAATCATTGTTTTAAAAACAGATAATTAGCGGACAAGAAATAACGTTTATCTCTGTTCGGTACCTTTTACTAAATATTTCGCACAAATAGTTGCGGAATTATTTCATGTCTTTGACGTCAAACTAAAAAGCGAAACAGCATTTGTTGCTGTTTTGTTCTTTATCTCGTGTTGTTCCATAAAGAACTTAACACAAGATTTACGAAATAATATTCTCTTGAAGTTTTTGACATTCCTTCTATCTGGAGGATAGTGTATTAGATAATTGACGGTTTAGCTCCAGGGGGTTGTCATATGCACTTTACCATTCTATTTATTAAACGTTGCTTAAAGTTTCACGAAACATTCGCACTTAATGCATTTATGCATTGCAAGATGGCATTTGTGGCAATGAAGTGGATATTAGTTGTGATAATGATTTCTTTCACTTGGGATAGCGTGTCATCCTTGCTTCAAAACGGCGATTTATTTGAAAATCCTCAGTTATTTCCCAGTACGACGACAAGTAAAGAATCCAGTGTTTTGAGAGAAATTCTGAATCAAGAAAGCTTAGTGCGCCTTTCAATGGTACAAAAAATCCAAAGGCTAGTTTTTGATTCTATCGATAACAAAAATAGTACTCAGATCATGAAGAAAAGACTTGATGACGTAATTTATGAAGTAAAGGCATTTGAGTCAGGTTATCAAAGAATGGAAAAAGAGAACTCAGCACTTAATGAAAAATGGAAGTCCATGCTGTCTACAATGGCTAACACTACAAGTCTTACACTTGACAAAATTTATCCTTTAAATGAAACAGAAGTTCTACGTCTTATGGAGCAAATATCGTCTCTAAAACGGGAAAATAATGAACTTACTCGGGAACATACAGAAATAAATGCACAACTTGTGGCTTTAAACAAAACAATCAGTTTGTCAGAGAGATATTTGGAAATTTTAAAAAACGAGACGTTGTTCAACAAACATAAAATTGACATTCTGGTACAAGAAAATGAGATTATGCAGAAAAGTTTATTTCAGAGAACAAAACATTCAGCGAGAACAATAAAAATGACTTAATTACACGGTTGCATGTAGTTGAAGGTAGTATTGGGAGTTTTGAACAAACAGTCAATGAAACAAAGGAAAATCTTTTTAAGGAACAAAGCAACTTTAGCAGACAACTGATGCATCTTTCCACACAAATCACAGGTATGTATGAGTATTTAATATACGAACATATGATTTTTCTCGGATATACTTTATTGTGAACATCAAGCCGAAAAATAAGTCAAAAATTTAAATTTAAACGAATGCATTGACTCGAGTATTACGTGAAGGAGTATTTTCTTCACAATGGATTCATATTGACGAAAAAAATAACGGTAAGAGGTTTTAACATTATTTGGGACATTTTACTTCACAGTTCCTGCATATGCATACTAGACTGGTCAATACTTAAAATAAATGATATACAATTATTGCTGTTTTTTGAGGTCAATAGAATGATTTAGCCATCTGAGGAGTACAATATTCACCGAGCCCGAAGGGCGAGGTGAATAATGTACATCGAAGATGGCTAAATTATTGTATTGACCTCAAAAAACAGCAATAATTGTTTTATTATATGATTCACTGATAAAATGATACAGCTGAGCTCATTACTTGTTGGCATTTAATTAAGTCGCTTTATACTTTAGATTGATTGTTTGTTGTTTTTACGTCCCTCTCGAAAATTTTTCACGCATATATAGACGCCACCACTTGACGGTAGAGAGCTACAAATTTTGTTCCTATTCTATAGTAAAAGATCCTTAATTTAAAAGTGGACATAACAAATGAAAATTTCTTTCTCATTTAGAAAGACTTAAATGTCCTTCTTCCAAGAGTAAATCCATCGCTTTTTACGCGTACATGTCTCAGAACACAGCGACTATATCTGGTCAGCAAATCTTGACATTTGATGTCGTGAAAACTAACGCTGGAAATGGATACTATTATGCAACTGGAATATTCATCGTTCCGGAAACCGGCATTTGTGTATTTACTTGGACAATACGAGAAAACAGCGCTAACCGTCACTCGACACAGTTAGTGAAAAATACTGATGAACTTGGAATAATTCACACACAAGTTTACCACAACTCGGACATTGCTGGAACCGGAATTGTTGTTGCGCATGTCAATACAGGAGACAGCGTCTTTGTAAGAACTCACTCATCATGGAATTATGGAATTATTGTAAGCAACAGTGCAGGAAGATCGTCCTTTTCTGGATGGAAACTTGTGTGACCACTGTATATTATTAAATCAAAATAGTAGAGAAGGCTTTGTTTGTAGTGCAGATTCTAGATAATTTTCTTAAAACTTCAAAGATTTCACTACTGCAATGTCATGACGCTTTTATCATAATTAATCAAATTTTCAATTTGTTTTTATTGCTATACAAAGTTTGTACTATAAAAGTAATTAAAAGCTCCAAAGTTTCACTATTACTAGTCAAACATCCAAAGTTCTTACTACAGTAAATTAAAGTAACAGTTATTTTTGCAATTAAGTAAATCGAAGTTGCAAAGCTTTAACTTAGATACTATAGTCAACTATAGCTAATTATAGTTTACTATAATAGTATTTTTGTGAGGGGAATTGATTATCGAAGGCAAACGGATAAAAGAATTCTTTCGGGAATACGCATTGATATCTTTAAATGGAAATCAAAATTGAGTCTCAATTCCTTCGTTGAATATCCTGTTAAAATAACATCTTATATAATTAATACCCTTCTAAATAATTAAAAAACAGAAAAGGTGAAAGTCTACAATATTAAGCAGAATCTGAATGAAAATAGAAAAGCATAAAGATTGTGATTTTTTGAATGGCATATAATTTATTCAATGTGAAATTGATCATTATAACAGACAGATTCTCTTAGTTACATATAATTTTTCTTCCACTCGTTGTGATTATATACATATACAACAGAAGTTGCATCGATCTGTTTCATTCTTTACAGTTACATAAGTTTTCAAGAAAAATGTTGCAATCAATAAAGATTTTAAATGCATACCAATTTTGTTTTGCACCAAATGCAACTACAATAAAAAAATTCGCGGACTTGTTTTCTCATTTGTTCTCTTACAAGACATTCGGCACTTTAGATCAAGATACACGTAGTGATTGTAGCGTGATTTTCTTATTTTTCTCCATGATTAAGGACAATCTGTAATTGTTCAAGAAAAAAAAAATCTAAAAACGAAATTCATTCACATATACTTTCTAAAATAAGTCTCAAACACTTTCAATAAATAAAACATACCCCTTCTCTTCATTTGGTATTGCTACCGATGCAGAGGAGTAATTTTGGAGGCTTGAAATAACATGCTGTTCGGTTATAGAAAAGCACACACACCGTGTATAATATATAATAATTATTTTTGTCTAACTTATAATAACATCTTCTATATATAAGACATTTTACAGATCATTATATAATGATAGGCATGGCTCAACGCAAAGTTGAAATCATCTATTGACAAAAACAACAATGCTATACTTAGAAGAAACAAGAGGCCCACGGGCCTTATAGGTCACCTGAGTATTGTGCAACAACTTTCAAGCAATTAAATTTGGTTCGTGTCTTAAACCAGAGGCCATGGAATTCGCAATTCACAATTTTGAAAAAGGCACCATTGTTTATCATAATTATAGACTCAGCATACTTACTTTATTTACTTAATTCCCAAAGGAAGATCAGAGTAACAAAGAGAAAATGCACTTCCACTTTAAAAGCAGTTGTGCATGTCACCCCAAAGGAACCACTGACCTTGGGGCCACATATTTCAAAATTTTGCAAATTGTATCATAAATGGTTGATTAATACCAAAGAGCAGATTTCAAAGCATTAATTTATTTTCAGATTATGTACCCCACCCCCACCCCCACCCTGAACCAGGAGGGGGGGGGCATAAAAAATAACCATTTTGCTAGATGCACCGTTTTTTTTATCATAAATATATATTCTTGGATCATTGTTATAAAACCCAGGAGCAAAGGAAAGATTTTCAAAGAATAAATGTATTTTCATTATATAATCAATAGAGCCCCGCCCTAACACCAGAAACCCTAACCCTGAGGCCATAAATTCACAATTTTGGAAGAGGCACTCTTGCTCAACATAACTATGTACTTACATAGTTTATTTGATACCCAGAAGCAGAGAAGAAGATTTTCAAAGAGTAAATGCATTTTCACTATATGATCAATAGAGCCACGCCCCTTACGCCAGAACCCCTGACCCTGGGGCCATAAAATTCACAATTTTGGAAGAGGCACTCTTGCTCAACATAATTATGTACTTACATGGTTTATTTAATACCCTGGAGCGGAGAAGAAGGTTTTCAAAGAAGTAATGCATTTTAACAATATAATCAATAGAGCCCAACCCTAACACCAGAAACCCTAACCCTGAGGCCATAAATTCACAATTTTGGAAGAGGCACTCTTGCTCACCATAACTATGTACTTAGTTAGTTTATTTAACACCCAGAAGCAGATAACAAGATTTTCAAAGAGTAAATGCATTTTCACTATATAACTAATAGAGCCTCGCCCTAACACCAGAACCCCTGACCCTGGGGCCATAAAAATCACAATTTTGGAAGAGGCATTCTTAAGGAATCACTGTCTAGTTTTGAGGGTATGCCAGGGCATCAACAATAGTGGGAAACATGGGATAATTTGCATAACGGGCGAAGCCCGTTATGCTAAAATTATCCCATGTTTCCCAGTATTGTTGATGTTCCTGGCATACTCTCAAAACTAGACAGTGATTCCTTATATTTCCGTTTCATTGCGAAATAAAATTGTAGATTTAGACTTTAAAAATGTAGACATAGACTATAATCACACGAGGACTTCCATGTCAATTTCAATAGTCCTCGCCCATTGACGTCGAACACAAAGGCAGCCGCACGAGATTCACATGCATATTTGGCCTCCTTAGCGTCAGACACAGAGACAGATGCGCACGGAATTTGCATGCGTATTAGGCCTCTTTAGCTCCTGACCTATCGACCTGGCTTATAAACATTCCGGCAGATTTATCAAGAAATAAACTCCGACAACTTTCAAAGAGTTATCACAGAGAAAAAAAATTAGAAATGGAAATATTTGCTCATCATAACTATGTACTTAGTTAGTTTATTTAATACCCAGAAGCAGAGAAGAAGATATTCAAAGAAATCATGCATTTTCACTATATTATCTATGTAGCCCCGCCCTAGCACTAGAACCCCTGACCCTGGGGCCATGAATTTCACAATTTTGGTAGAGGACTCAATGCTAAATGTCCAGGAGTAAAGAAGAAGATTTTTAAAGATTCCAATAATTTTAGTGGTTTTGACCCTACCCTTCTGGCCCCAGGGGCAGGGGCCATAAAATTCACAATTTTTATTTCCCTTCACCCATAAATGCTGTATACCAAATTTGATTGAAATTGGTTCAGTGGTTTCAGAGAAGAAGCTGAAAATGTTCAAATGTTAACACACGACGCACGACACACGATACACGACGACGGACGAAAACAGATAGCAATAGGTCACTTGAGTTACTCAGGTGACCTAAAAAAAACCTATACACGTGTTCAATAGATCATAGTTTCATTTGTATAAAAGATACGAGAGTTACTTCTTCAATAAAAATTTAACTTGTAACCTTACTTGGCCTTGTCATTGCAAAATCATGTTGTTAAATTGTATATAGTACACCCAAGTTAGGTACTATGAATTTGATTATTATAAAGATGCTTCACTTTCTCATTAACAAAATCTATGTAGTTTTTGGAGATCAGATCTTCCAACAATCTATCGGAATTCTTAGGGTTCCTAATTACGTCGCTGTAATAGCAGACCTATTTTAGTATTAATATGAAGCATTCTTAAACTTCAATATGAGAAGAAAACACTTTAAACTGTACATTTAGATTTTATCCTGCCACTGATAAAAATCGTGAAATTTCATTGGTTGAGAAGAATACTGTATCAATCAATATGCTGTCTACCCACATCATATTGCTAAAGTGCCCCCTCTACGTGACCTACTTACCACACATCAAATCACTATCCCCCTCCAAGTGACCTACCCACCACACATCAAATTGTGACCGTGTCATATATGATGAATAAACACAGTTATAGGGTTGCATGGATTCTTTATTGCCATGGATCTCGTTCCACATATGAACAATCAATAAAGTGAAAATATCGGCCCTATAAGAAATAAAATACAATATGTAAATGACATCAAACAATATATTCAATTCAATGCAGTCCTCATACATCGACACGGATTTTAATAAAAATATATTTAACAGATTATAAATGTTCCAAATTCATGAATGCGTAAAAAGGGAAATAACTCTTACAAATTACAGAATTACCAAAATCGTGTTTAGATAGAAATTTCCGTAATTTTGAGTAATTTGTCAAAGTATATTAAAATGTAAAAACAAGTAATAATTCCTATAGCGTACCAATTTATGGAATCAGGCTGAGCACTAACAAAAATGCTGGCTCGAATATTACATCTATACAGAACCTATATAAAAACAACAATCATAGGTTCAGCCGTAATCTCAAGACAATATTATAGCTGATCATAAAAATAATAAAACTGTTCAATTTACAACATCTCTATCCAGTGTTGTTTATAATCAATATGATTACTGATAATAATACTTTACAAGAGACAATGAACTTTATTTCAAAACTTCACTCGTTCTCTCTTTCAATCAAAGAAATTTTGTTACGTAAAGATAAAAACATAAAAGTAGAAAAATAGATAACTTACTGTATGTGATCTGTATACTAATACTCAAATGTAATGGTAAAACCCAAATGTATATCTTGGTACCGAGACAGAATCTCACAGCCGGTAACTTTGGCTGTCCGTGCGAGAAGGAAGTGCCCCCACACATCACATCGAACAATAGAAAACTTACCGCCAAAACCCTTGGCCAATAAAACTACGTTACACGTAATGTCAAAGGTCGACAAGGTCAGCCAGTCAGAATTAGTAGCATGCAAAGTGAAAAGTGCAATGATGATAATGATAACTATAAAACACTTTGAGATAAATAAATATTCTTTATTAATTATTTATTTATTTATTTATTAAAACCACTCTGCCACAAAATCACTATCCCCCCTCCAAGTGACTTACCCACCACACATCAAATCACTATCACCCCCCACGTGTCATACTGCAAAGATGATTTCATTTGAACACAAAGAGCCGAATACCTGACGTCATGTTAACATTAATGACGTCACAATGTTAACAATTGTTACGGGAGGATTTGCAGAAATCTTCGACAGGATAAATTCGTTATGTAGACACTTGGAGGGGTAATACGGAAAAATGTGGGATCCTTGAAAAAAATACATATTAGCTCAGCTTACATATCTCTGTATTTCCCCTCTGTCTTCAAAACAGTAATATATTTGATGTCGTATAATCATTTGGCAATAGTTACTCTCATTTATACATGAATGTCGACTTGATGTGTCCCAAAAGATCTTGAAATAAAAAATAACAATGAATCTGAACCATCTGTTTGATATTTGGATATTTTCCAGAAAAAAGCAGTAATGGTTAGTTTTGGGCATGAATACTGCGGGTTATCTACATATATTTTAGATGATCATGTTTGAAATGATTAATTTATACAATACAAATCTTGAAAATATTTTAAACATTTGATTTTTTGCATTAAGTTGAGGTGTTTTTTTTGAATGATCAGTTTCTGTATGAAACATGTGGAGAAAACGAAGAGTATTTAAGATATAAAAAAAATCCATACAACAATACAAAATAAGAACAGAGTAAACATGGACCTCTAAAACATCAGAGGTGGGATCAGGAGCCATGAAGGATTTAGCATTCCCTGCTCACTGGTAACACCCGCCATGTGCCCCTTGTCATGATCGGGGAATAACGGAAAAATTCGATGTGAATTCAGTGTATAAATAATGGTCAAGCAATTAGTATAAAGAACGTCAGTCAGCATTTCACTTTATGATAAATTGTATTTGCTGATAATGTCATTGTATCGGCAATAGCCTTGCAAAATGATGACTTTAAACGATACTGCTGATATTCTTGTTTTATCAACTTGTTTTTCAATAATTTACCTCGTTTAGAAATTTTTCATACTTAGAGCATGTTCTAATCGAATCAACTATGGAATCAACAATATAAACTCCGTATTAAGGTAATGAAGATATTGCTACATAAGTAAGGGAAGCTGAGGCTCAAAAAGTTAAATCCATCACGTTTATCATAGAGCATGATTGTTACATTACTATTAACGTCTTCTTCATTCAAAATATCTAAATACGTAACAGATGTGCCAGAACCTGTGATATCTTTCATCTTAAGCTGACTAGAATACATGTATATACATGTATATTATATTGACATTAGATTGAAAATTGCTATTGTACGAAATGATGTTTTTAACGAGTCTGCTGATATTCTTGCTTCATCAACATGTTTGTCAATAATTTACATCGTTTTAGAAATTTTGCATACGTAGGGCATGCTCTTGCATATCGAATCCACTGAGTTATATAAACTCCGTATGCAGGTGAAGAATGTATATTGCTGCATAAACAAGGGAAGTTGACGATTGAAAAGTCATCACGTTAAACATAGAGCTTGGATGTTAGATTACCATTAACGTACAAAATTCACGTCAAGTAATTACACTGTAAGACAGATCCTTGATTGTTTCACTAAAATTGTCACTTCGTTAATTGTTTTGTCTACTGACTGTCAGACTTTTTTTTTAGATTTTCAGCATCAAATAACTTTGTGTTTATTTATCCTGGCAGTGTCGTTAACAAAATTCAGGTAAGGATGAACATCATCGTAATACTCATTAGCAGGTGTGACATCCATTGCACCTAAATATGACCCGTCAGCATTGTTAGGTTCCATGTATGATCCTTCATTATTGGATTCAGAAGAACAACGAGGAACACTCCCCACCAGATTTGATGCAGGCAAACGTTGATAGCCTTGGTCGTGCTCCTCTATAGTTTCATAGACATGATCAAGGTTTATTCCTCCTGAGATGGCCAGTGTTGATTCGTATGGGGCATTCTCCGCCTCTGTAGTTCTCTGAATTCGTGTTAACTCTTTCCTGCATTTTCTTTAATAGAAATGTTTTGCATTATCTAAGTGCATTTCGATTTAAATAACTTTCATTTACTTTTAATTCAAATTAGATATTTTTCCCATTTACTAAAAAAGGACCCGTAACTTTCATTTAAAAGTGTCGAGTGTATGGCGAAGGAAAAGAACGACTAGGTCAGTCGCGGCCGAGATACAAACTCACGACCTACCGATCACTGAGCGAGCGCTCTACCAACTGAGCTACCGTGAACCGTCACTTCAATGTATAAAACGTAGGAGTAAATGTTAGCAGATGAATTTTTTAACCTTCTTTCCTTGCTTGCCTGACTGGTCGTCAAAAAAGAAGGTTCTAAAAAAATCATACTTAAAGAGTAAGCCCTTAGCTTATTCTAAAGAAAAATACACGGCAAAATCAAACTCTTTAACTGTTTAAGAATACACACTTTAAAACCTTTGAAAAACGAATTTGGATAATACTTCGTCCGACAGTTGAACAATCCAATACTAATATACCCATTTTTTAAGAATCCTTCTTAAACTAGTATCATGTACATTACTACAAACCTTATTTTGATTAAGACGATTGTTAAGCTAACAACGATGAGGATCACAGCGCCAAAACCCGCAGCCACTGATTAGAAAAGAAGAAATACAGTGCAATTAATTGTAAGTACAACCAGACAAAAGAATTGTTTCGCGCCAGTATCTGTTATTCATAAGAATAAGATATTTCGTTTAAAACGTGAAGAAATATTTGTTTTGATTGTGGTATCCTACATACAAAAGTACTGCATGTGATAAACAATCGTTGACTCTTCTTTAATCTCTGTAGAAGTAACTACATTTCTCTCTGTAGAAACTGGATCAATTTAAAAATTTAAAAAAAAACCATTATTATTGTATCAAGTTTCATTGCATGTATAAAACTATGATGTTGAACATTCTTTTACACAAATACGAATCATTAACTCTGCATTTAAACAAAGGAGTAAATGTTTATTCATACCAGTATAGCTTTCCCCTGAGAATGGAAACTCTGACAGGTATCGTGTAAAACCTGAGTTGAAATATTGAAGATTTGTGTTCATTAACATCATATAACAATGACGATCAAATGATTCTTATCTGAGATATTAAATTCCTTATCGTATTACGAAACCTTCAGAAAATATATAACATTTGCGTTTTTTTTAATTGGAACTCATGTTCAAAGTAGCATTTATTGTTTTTTTTCTATTTCGGATTTAATTAAAATATTATCCTATATTATTTTACAAACAATTGATACATTTTTAGTCAACAACCTTCGGAATAGTTGAATGATGCCCTCATAGAATAGGTAAACTATCACTCTGACCAAACAACAATAATTATATAAAATCATAGTCTAATAATGAGATTGAATACTAAGTCTTAGCATTGCAGCTTTTTTGCGTGCATGATACTCGTTTTATTGTAAAAAAAAATATTTGTTTACTGATGATATTTTTCAAATTAATGTATCAAAATTGGTGCAAGCTTTATAATAGGCTCTGCGCATGAACAATTCCTAAAACGAGGTACTAGTAAATTATTGACAAAAATGTTGATGAAACAAGAATTTCAAGTTGTCATGGTTAAAACGTCAGATTTGAAATATTATTTGCAAGACATTTTGAAATAGAAGACATGGAATTGGAAAAATAATCTTCAATATGTCTCTAATGGAGACTTAACAGTCTTTCAATGTTTTGTATACACTGTAGGTTTTATACCAGAAACTGGGAATCTGATTACTTCGCATATGGCATATGACATATGTAATATGTTTTAAATCCTAGAGGATTATATCTGAAGGGCACCGAATGAATTCTTTGAGTATGTGTCCCTTCAAAAAAGTGACCTCTTTTTATACTGTATCATATTTGCCAGTTTCATATCGTAATTCTGTGTACTCATGAATGAATAGGTTCCTAACGACAAGTATCCTCGGGGAAAGACTGTCCACAAGCAAAGATACATAATCGGTGGTTAAAATGTATCCTCATCTGATTCAGTAGAAAGAGAATTATGATTATAAGTTGGATTACCGATGTTCACCTACAGTAATGAGTGTACACTTACATGTTTCCAAATTAAAAATTGAAGGAGCAAGGAATTTGTTGTGTTTGAAGTAAGTGTTGACCAAACGAAGCTTGTCCTTAACAAGACAGGTTGAATCATTTCCCCATGTTGACAATGAAATTACACAATGAAGGAGTTGCTGCGTGTTTCTGTTATAAAATAATTTAAGTAGAAAAGTAGAAATTTAAGTAAAATGTTTTGAACAAAACAGTTTTGCAGATGACCAATAACTAAAACCCCAGTCACATTTCCAAAAACGACCAACGGCCGACGGGTTTTGAAGCAAAAATGGGATTCTTCGGGTGACAGTCGTCAGTTCATCGGCCATTGTCTTGGCCGATTTTGACCTCTTTCTTTGTCGGCCGACCAATTTTGTGTCCATCGGTCCAAGTTATAATTTTTTATGCGTCGGTGGCCGGTTCCTTCAAGTAATGTTATCCGTCGACCAACCTTCGATCATCGTCTGACCATCGGCGGTTAAGTTATAAAGTCGGTCGTCCGTCGTTGGACAATAAGGGTGTTTAAAATTTCGGCCGACGCTTAAAATCAAACTGTAGCTCAGAGCTCGATGATCGGACGACGATTGGCCGACTTGTGAATATTTAACCTAGTAAGTATACATAACACAAACAAAATTTTGATGCTTGGATTGATATATATTTTTTGAACGGAAATAGCATGAATAATTAATCCGTCAGATATAAAGAAATCTAAAGTATTATTTGCTGCTTAGATATGCACCATTTGTCATATTTATGCAATTCCATACAAAATATTGCACACATTTTCAACTTTGCCTTGCAAACATTACTCACGTTACCTATCTGAATATAGATTTACTAAAAAATGTTGCTGAATTCTAAAGAAAAAAGATTTTTTGTGTTATTTGTCGAAGTCATCGGTGTCCCTAGAAATTAATGTGACTGCTCCGTGTCGCCCGATACTGTATCGGCCGATCATGTTCTTTCAGCCGACAAGATCAGAAAAATTTATTCGCCCGACCAACGGCTTAAATGTGACCTAGGCATAAGAATGCAAATATGCTTGTTCCACTTTTATCAACGAAACTGTTGACTATGATGTCAAAAGGTCTAGTGTTAACTATATCCTGTGGAGTGGTTGTATAAAGTTTTTAAAAAAGTCATACATTAATACTATTTTTCTTGGTGAAAGTTATTCCACAGTTTTAAGTATCCATATATGATGAAAACCATTTCTTAAATTTGTGACTGTTAACTTCCCTTATTATTTTTATTTAGAGATATGCCGTTATCACTTACATATGAAGTTTTCCCCCATTTGATTCGATACTCAACAGTATGCTATACTTAAAACAGTTTCTAAATCAAGATAGTCAAAAATGATAATACAAATATAACAATAGTTTGACTGGTTCAACAGGGGTGCATACATTTGCAATTAATTGCATTATATTTTAAGAAAGGATTTTGGAATGGATTCTTTATCCTTTATAAAGATCCTTTCTTTGGATTATTGGAATACTTTCGTTTGAACCTGAATGATGTCAGTCAAACAGCAAAACATATGTGTTACATGAAATATATGGAGATAAAGAATGGGATTCAAGCTCAATGGTCCATAGAACAATACAAAATAGGAGCAGAGCAAAAATTGACCTCTAAAACATCAGAGGTAGTATCAGGCGCGCAACTAGGATAAGGCTGCCCGTAAAATATCAAACTGTTCAAACTGTACTAACTTCTCTGAACTACCAAGATATGACGTCATAATAGAATATGAAGTGAAGTACTGCATACTAGAGCTGACATGACGGGGAAAATGTCATTATTTTAACATGGCATGTAGATTTTTTTTAGGACTTGTTGCTTGATTCAAGTGTTAGGATTGTTTTTTAAGATCGAGTGTGTTGTTATGGTGTTGAACATTTGAAATTCAAATATCACTATCCCTTTTGCTTGTCCAATATGCACATATTCAAACAATAGCAAAAATTATGTGTGAAACGTTCCCCTTACACGGCCGTAGACAGAGTTAGAATTTATGACTCGTGTTTATGTTGGACTGGCACAAGTGATTTACAAGGACACATTGAAGATATTCTGTGTGAATCTACAAGAGAAGTAAGTCCTCTAACTGAATATTGCTGGGGGATTGTGTGTAGTTTATCCGTTTTTGTATAAATCGTGATGAAGTGTGGAAAATACCCCTTCTTATGTTGGTAATTTTTATTTCTCGTAAAATATATTCTAAATGAGTAAAGATTAAACATTCCGCCAGCACTTTCTATGTACTAGAGATCACGAAAAATTGATTTATGTAATAAACTTTGCACAATAATTTTGTTTTGCACTTGTGCCGAAGCGATTTTTGCGTGAATATCACAAATCTCCATCACGTAATCAATACAGTCATGTGAAATCATATAAATACTTAAAAATAAAACCTGATTAAACTATTATCTTAAGTTGTCTGCAATTTTAAACAAGGATCACACATTAACATTAAAATCTAGCTCAGAATGATATGTTTATTTTCTAGGCATTTAAGCCTTCAGACAGCCTTATCATAACTGCGTGCCATGAAGGAGTGAGTATCTCTTGCACATTTGAAAAATTATATCATTTTTCGATAAAATTGTCTTAAGAAATCGTACAGTCTAAATATAGGAAAATATGTAATTATCAACATTCAAATTTATACTAGTCTTTATGTGTTATTTCATGCATATATAATTAAGTTTCATTGCAAAAATATCTATCAAAATGCATTTCATTTACACAAAATTGGATCATGTTCATGCAGTTATTCTTTTACATAAAATTCAATTGGTTTGAATGAGCCACATTTAATGTTTAAAATGTAATGTACCTATTTTTACAACACAACTACAGATATAAGGAATCGTTGAATTCCACGACTGATATAATGTTTTGCTAAGTTTAGCAACACACACAAATCCCTTTTAATATACCTGCAAAATTCTTCTTCATCTGTTGCCTTTTCTATATTGAATCGTCCATTGCAGGATTTTACAAAGTCCTTAATGATGTTTATTTGCTTATATTCTGAACTAAGTATCATGCTGCAAGCAGAAATTATGCCTGTAACGACAAAAATGTAGAATATTGGAATATTAACAAATTTAACCATCTTTTAAAATGTATTAATTGCGAACAGAAAAAATAATTTTGTTTAACTTTGGTAAACATTGAAAAATCTTAATACTAAAATAGTATAATATTATTCAATTATAATTTTACATTTACATTTGCAAATGTTTTCCTTTATGTAACACTACTGAAAGCAAGCGTTTTTATTACTGTATAAATACAGGTACGGGGTCAAGAGGTCATACATGTTTGTATGGATAAACGTTCGACGTAATTTCTCAGTGACGTCATAAAGGGTCGACGCGCGTTCAGTGGATTACATACATGCCGTTGGGCTTGAAAAATAATGCATTTCACACGTTATTAGTCACAATCAGGCAAATTTAAAGCATGAATAAGTCACAAATGTAAATATAAGTAATAAGGTATCATTTTTTGAGTTTTATTGGGATGTAAAACGGGTTGGTACATAATCAAATCATCCAAAAAGCCCATATTTCCTAAATATATATTAAGCATAGGGAGCTTGAGATGTTAATTAGTGAAAAATTGAATGCATGTGCGTATTACAAATGAGATGAAATAATTTTTTTTTTAAATGCTATTTTTGTACAAAGCTGTCTATGAAAATTTAAGTAAATTCGGATTAAATGTTTCTTGAAAGAGGAGGCAAAAATAGAAGAAAAATATATTTAAAAAAAAATGAAAAAAACGAGTTATAAAACTTGATATTTATTAAAATAATTGGAAAATATGCTATTTTCGACTGTTTTCTTTCACGGTGGCGATTTTTTAAATTTTCTTATGGTTTATGAAATTTCAGGATTTCGATGTACCTGTGTGCCCTACTTTTATTTACTTCCTTATAAATACCAAACATACGATGGCAATCGTTGACAAAGTATAAATAAACTGGTTGTGCTAAATGTACATTTACAGTTTATACAATGATAAATTAGTTTTAATTTGACGACAGGATTTAACAAAACGCTGTATAAAACGACAATATTCTTTTTAAAAAAGGGTTGCTGTCAGTCATCGTATAATCCAAATTGGACGTCATATAAATATACATACAGTGATATTTATTACCACATTGTATTTTAAAAATCTAAGATCTTTTTAGTTATAAATGCAAAAGATACTTCATGAGATTTAATCCAATATATATACTTCGCAGAGTTAAAGTGCCTAGCTATATATAATAATAATATCATAGAAAAAATTAGAGGTACTTAAGCACTGAGCTCATTAAATGATACCTCGCCTCCCACATGATTATAATGGCATTTTTTTTTTTTTTTTTTTTCACTCTGGGAGACCCCAAAAAAGTGTCGGATCAAAATGCACAATGACATTATGTAGTAAAAGGGAATCTGTGTAAGTGTCATTTAATTCAATTATGTGGCATAGGAGGAGTTGCAGATAAGAGGTGGGTAACCTTCAATATCATTGAAAAAATGGAAAGGTCAATGTTTTGCTATCGGAAACCCAAATATGTTTCCACTCAAAAAATAAAGTAGGAGGTGCACAATGACACTAAGTAGCAAAAGAATCTGTAAATGTCTCCTTAAATTTCATTTAGTGGTACAATAGGAGTTATGGGTACAATGCATAACAGACAAACGGACGGCTAGACCGATGGACGGACATAACAATCACTATATACCTTCCAACTTTCAAGCGGGGGAAATAAAAAAATGGTTAGGCGTTTATAGGTTATCCTTAGAAAATTATACTAATCTGTATTGCTTATAGTTTGAATCTATATATATTTGCCTAAAATGTCTTTGTCCAGTAACATAGTGCTTCGATAATATCAGATTTCCATCTTTTTGTTAACAATGAATATTTGCTATATTTTTACTTGAATCAAATGACAATAACTTTTTATGAGCAGATAACCTAAGCTTTTTTTCTTTGCCTTCTTATATGTATAGTGATTTTTTTCTACACATAATAGACATAAATATACATCTACTACTTACAGCCGTCAATTTTCCAGCCCAGATCTTTTTCTACCATATCCTGTACTTGAAGAGCGATAGCTTTAAGAGGAATATGTGAACATTTGACAAAAGTGATATTTTCAATTTGTTGCTTTAAGCAGGTCAGAAATCTCCATAGCTGACTGAAAAAGAAAGATGAAAAAGTACAGTAACTAAGATTTGAAATTAAAGTTGCACCGATAATGTTCTGTATTTGGATGTTTTTGTGACATGTTTATCTCCGGTTTCTAACAAAAGAAAATGTTACATTTTGCAAGCAACATTCTTTTCACAGGAAGATATATGGTCAATAAAAAAAATTATCATAGTGCTAGGTCAACAAATTTATACAAATTGAATAATGAATTAAAATTCATTCTATAATTAATATCATGTCTTCGATATCTATCTGACATTGTATGCTATTTGATGTTAATAAAATAAAATTAAATTATGTTACACTGTATCTAAAACAAGCAATTTAATCAAATAAATAACAAATCACGAAAAAGAAAAGTATTTAAGAAATATGTGTATTTCCAATGTTCCAATTAACATAATTTATGAAATTATTTCAGATATAACACTAAAAGAAATATACCTGCGATTATCAGGAGATATACAATACAATTACTTCCTTTTAATCCTATTGTAATTTTATTAAATGATTCAAAAGTATTATAATTAAGGAATTGTACATAAAATATGAAATATATAGAGTTAGAGAACAGTATTCAAAAAGGATATGGAGATAACGAACAGTTTTCAATCTCAAAGTCCATAAAAAAAAATACAAAATTACAAAATTAAAGCAGAGCAAACATGGACCCCCGAAACATAAGAGGTAGGATCAGGTGCCATGGAGGAGTGAGCATCCCCTGCCGACCGGTCACACCCGCGTAGTGCTCCTTGTCATGATAAGGAAATAGCGGAAAAAATCCGTTGTCAATTCAGTGTATAAATAATGGACTAACAATTGGTATGAAAAACGTCAGTCAGCATTTGACTCAAGCTCAAAAGTCAATTAATGAAATATATGGAGATCAGGGGTGGGATCAGGTGCCATGATGAGTGAGCATCCCCTGCAGACAGCTCACACCCGCCGTGTTCTCCTTGTCAAGATCGGGAAATAAAGGAAACATCCGTCGTTAATTTAGCTTATAGTTTAAAATTAATGGACTAACAATTCGTATAAGTCAGTCAGCATTTGAAACAATGATAAATTGTATTTCCTGAGACTGCTGATATTCTTGTTTCATCAACTTGTCAAAAATTTACCTCGGTTTAGAAATTGTTTATTCGAGGGCATGCTCTTGCGTATCGAATCAACTGAGATATATAAACTGCATATGCAGGTGATGATGAACAATACAAAATAGGAGCGGAGAAAACACGGGCCTAAAAAACATAAGAGGTTGGATCAGGTGCCATGGAGGTGTGAGAATCCTCTGCCGACCGGTCACACCCAGCGTTTTCTCCTTTTCATGATTGGGAAATAACGGATAAATCCATCCACAATTCAGTGTGTAAAATGGTCTAACAATTAGGATGCTAAAAGTCAGACAGCATTTGACTTATTGATAGATTGTTTTTGCTGACATAATCCATATGCAAGTGATTAAGGTATATAGCTGCATAAGTAAAGCAAATTGACGATTGAAAAGTTAATGTCATCACGTCTATCATTGAAAGTTTGGTTGTTCGATTTCAATTTCCGTCTGTTGTAAAATATTTAAATAGGAAACATATATGTTAGACTCTGTGGTATCTTTTATTACAAGTTCACGGGGATATATCGTATCGAGATAAGAATGGACTTTATCACTTTTAATTGATAATACATCGTCGATATGCATGTATCTTAATGTCGAGTTGAAGGAAACAGAAAGTGTTTCACAGGATGAAAATCCACCATTCAGTCGACTGAATGGTAACTGAATGCCCACGGAATGGTCACTGAAAGGTCGTTGAAAAGACCCTTTCCCGTGACCTTTCCGTGATCATTCAGTTACCATTCAGTCGACTGAATGGCACATACATTTCAGTGACCTTTCAGCCATCATTCAGTTGCATCTTTTTATTGAATAATCAGCTTATTTTTTAACTTTAAAAAATTATTTCAATTTTTTCTGGTATAATAGCATTAAATTTATCTAATTCCGAATAAAAAAAATTGGGGAAAAAAATTAATGCAAGAAAAAAAATCTCGCACATCACCGGGAGCAAACCCGGATCTCTTGCTTGCATGTCCGCGACCTAACCAATTGAGCCACGGCTTCTTGTTATCTAGTTATAAATTAAAATCAATCAATTTGTAGAAATCGATGGAACAATCGGTTCACCTGTTGTATCGAGGAGCTGCGATGTGTATATATCTTGTATATCTTTTGTATATTCTATGTTAATTGCGCGGGTTTTTGGGGCAGACTGATTACTACACATCTCCTATCGGGATGATGACAATTATCAGCTACGGGCACCTGTTCCTGTGTCAGTTATAAATATGAGATCGTTGTAAATTCTCTATCTAGAAACTTAGTAGAATGAATTTAAAACAATATCATTTTAAAAAGCTAAAATCTACAATATTTAGTTTTTTCTACGAGAGGCATGTATTAATGATTTATTCTATTCATGTAAAATGATTTTTAAAATGATGTCTTTCAAAAGCTAAAATATCCTGCGGTTTTGACCATTAATTAAGAAACGAAACTGATCAGGTATATAAGTAATTCTGTCTCATTAATCAAAAATAGATATTTCTCTGAAAAATTCACGTATAAGCACTATAGGATGTTATTCGGCATTCATGTAAATTTTGATTCGATTATCGGATCATCATTCTTTATCACTTGACGAAATTGTGTTTTCTAATTGTAATTGGAAAATTATATATCATTTTGAATAAATATTTATTTTATAAAATTAAAATATTATTTAGACATATTTTTAGGTACGCGAATTAAATTACGATAAGTAAAAAACTCAAATAAGATTGAATAATAAATCTTTAGTCAAAATATTGCTTCATTGATAAGGAAAAAAAAATATCTAATTAATTATAAATTAATAAGCTAGTGAAAAAAATCGCTAAGTTGAGACTAAAATTAAATATCACTGAAAGGTGGCGGAAAGGTCACTGAAAGACAACAGAAAGGTCACTGAAAGTCGCCGGAAAGGTCACTGAAAGACAACAGGAAGGTCACTGAAAGTCGACGGAAAGGTCACTGAAAGACGACGGAAAAGTCACTGAAAGTTGACGGAAAGGTCACTGAAAGTTAACGGAAATATGTCCGCTGAATGGTGACTGAAAGGTATCTGAAATGTGACTGAAAGGCAACTGAAAGGTCAATGAAATGTATGTGCCATTCAGTGGCTGAATGGCCACTGAAAAGTCACTGAAAGACG